GTACCACGCAGCGTCTGCTGAAGTGAACAATATTCTTCCGAGCTGAGCATACGTACCCAAACGACCTTGCCGTTTTGTCGTGCCACTTGCCTTTGATCCACATCACCTTTCATCCTTTCTACCCACCCTCTCTTGTTGTTCACCATTCCCTTCGGGGAGCATCAGGGATGAGGAAAAAATGATTCACCTTTGTTGGCCTGCACGATTCAACACATATTCTCTGGATAGTGAATTTACCTTGTACGCTCTTCGAAACTGTGAAGAATAGAAATTAGAGAGTGTAATAGCAACAAAGTTGATAGTTCTCTCAACGAAACTCATTCGACCGCTATATGGTAGGAGATACGCTGTAATTATCGAGGAATGACTCACCAATGATGGCCCTTCATTAACGTTAGTAGTAACAGATTAATGTCTGGAACAGTCTTGGCCACGATGTGAGGTTAAGGATAATTCCAGGGATCGTTTCATAGAGTCATGATGTACGTTATACGAATATATGGGACGACCTTTCAGCACATGGAGTGCTGTTCCGAACGGTGCATGGAATGCTGCAGGTAAACAGCCTTGTTCGCTGGGGACGCTGGAGCATTCCAAGGAGGCTTGTTTGACGGGAAGCTAGCCAGTTTTTTTTCCACTAATTGTGATGACCGGCCAACCCGTATAACTGTTGCAGAAGGGACTGGAGGTACTGGTAATCCCCGCATCTGCAGAAGGAACTGTTTCTAAATTTTCACAGAAGTGACGATCATTCTTCCTGTGCATTTCTGGAATGCCAAGCATGTTCTGGAATGCCAAGAATGTATAGTCGCAATCTACTGCAGTCATCACCTTTGCAAAGGAGAGAAAGTGTGAGGAGATATGAAATGGAACGCGGTCGCGTCATCGCGTGCAACATGTTGTGCGGTTGTGCGTAGCATGTTCTTGATGTACATTGCTCAGCTGGTTGTAACAGCAAGACTCGGTAACTAAAAATCGAGTGATCGAAAGAAATCGAGTGAAGGCTGCACGGTCAATATCGAATTGGCTCGTCTCTTTAACATAGAAATCCAAATTGCCAACGTCAAACTCGCATGTGGAATGCTGCGCCGCCCACCCACGGCATATTACGACTGTCTTCGTCACATATCCTTAATGGCGCCTATCTGGAGTCGTAATGAATTCTGCAAGAGGGAGCCTTTGTTCATTGGACTAGATTACGACGACCTTGTATGAATCTTGGCTGAGCAATGGCTTCAGACATATACGACAACAAAAAAACTACCGGAAACAAACTTTAAAAAAACTATCGGAAACGAAATCAAATTTATCGGAATGCAAATAACCACCCTTTTCCAGCTTTTGGAGAAGTGAACCTCATTTCTGTCGTCAATCATGTCGTCAATCATGTATACTACTTCAACATGCAGTAAACTCTTCAGAAATGCCTGAAGTGTTGGATGACCTCCTTTTGAGATCATCTCAAATTTGCACGCCTTCAGAAAGCGTGGCGTTTTCTCGAAGGCAAAGCCCGCGACTATCGATTACAGGTTGAGAATCATCAAATCATATGCTCAGTGAGACAGTTACAAAGAATAAAGCAAACCAAATGGTCGAGAACGACCCTAAATAAGAACCCTCCACGTATTTTCTAGACATGCGGAGCGAGCAGTTCGAGAGTGGGAAAGAGAGGGAAACCATGGTAAGACCAGCACAAATGATCGAAATTCTGTCGCTTAACGATGGCAAAAAGAAATGACAAAGGTGGATCCATCTGCAATAGGCGGAGCAGGCCTATCGTCGTTAAGCCGCGGCGCTTTAATGGCACACGAAAGTGAGGCAAGCTCTGCGACTGTGGGCCGCGCCGCCTTGTGCAATCAGCAATCATGGACGCTGTCTAGTTTGTTCTCAGTCCCAGATATAACCTGTACTACCCTCAAAAGACAACGAGGACTTACAAGGTACAATGCTGGGCAATTTCGGCACATCAAAGTAATCACCAATCGTATCGATCAAACCCGACGCTGCTGCCGCGATGGAGTGGTTAATGCCGACTCTCTAAATTATTATACCATACTACTATATTTTCTGAAACAATTCATTATTGCAACAAATTCAAGTTATTTCCAATACAAAACTACTTTGTCCTTGCTACTGAAGGTCTGTAAGTCACCCTGGCCATCACAGCCACGGTGAAGTGCACGGCCACGGTGTATCTGTGGAAGTGCCATAAACCGGAACAAAGGCATAGACGGTCATCAAAAGGCACCGGCCGCTGGAGTTTTGGGAGGGTTAGGAGGATGGAATAAACTCATCGAATTGTATAACAAATCCAAAGAGATCTGTCTTGTGAGGAGTACTGTCCAAACAAAATTGATGCACAACTCATTTACTGCACAAATAAGACTGAGCATTGAAGCTGAAACAATTGAAGAAGTCAACCATTATATGGGACGTCAACCTGGACATGGACATGAACATGGACGTGGGGAGCAACGGCGGCAAATTTAGCAGAGTAAATGCAGTCTGGTCTATGCTCAACAGGATTTCAGCAGTGGTGCTAAATGACAACCTGCCAGCGATGCTAAAGGTGCCATTATTCCACTCAACCGTGATACCCGCGCTATTGTAAGGCATAGAATGTTGGTTGCATTTCAAAAATAAGGCTGATGAAGAGAAGCTTGCTGTAGCGATGAAGTGCAGAATCTGTTAAGTGTTCCTTCAAGATCAAATTGCGAAAGCAGAAGTAAGGTGAAGTGGACGAATGGTGCAATCGACCAGCTGCAAAAATAAGAAAATGGACCAGTAGTGTAGCGCAACTGAAGGACAAGGTGGGCCCTCGGCTTACGATCTGGATCCCACTGGATGAGACACGACCTCAAAAAAAGGCCGATAATGAGATGAAGCTATCCATTAGAGTATATGGCCAACAATGGAAAAGACACGAGCAGGGTCGGAACGGATGGTTGAGAGTCAACAAGAAGTGGCGGAGTTTACAAAACGAAGTCGAATCAACGAAGTCGGAGGAGGAGTGTACCAGGCAATGTGACAGTATTATTAGAGGCAATGGTCTGCAGTGCGGCCGCAGAACAGCAACGTTACTATTTCGGAAGCTTATTCACGCGAATGCTACACTCACAATCACTCGTAGCCAATATCGATATTCATGGCTGCATTCCCGCCGACGCTTTGGATCGTTTAGCAAAGTCAGACGTCGATACCGTTGTCGCGATATGTGAGCGCTGCCATAAAAAATATAATGTCACTCACACTGAAAATAGCGAAACCACAAGGGCCAATCATCTCGGTTATTCCTGCGTCGTAATGTTCATTGGCGAGCATCTGCATTGTATCATTATCTCCGAGGAGCACTGAAAACTTTTGTTGTACCTTCATTGCAAGAAATGGTAGGTGGTGTTTATAATCGCCTTCTCAGGTATGGAAAGTTCCCGTTCCTAGACGCTGGTCAGATGAGTAAATTGCGTGCGAACTCACAGTCGCAACATCGAAGTTGTAGTTCATCTTGGTCTGTAAATAGTTGGAGTTGATCAGAAAAAGACCTGCAGTCTACCTTCCAAAGATTTGAATCCCATGGGCCCAAGTGTGGTACGATTCCTTCTGGAAGAGGATACAGAACCTGAATAAAACCTCGACAGAAACCGACAGCTCTCAAACTTTCTTGCTAGTATGCTATTAGTACCAATTCAGTTTCTTGTTGATCTCCCTTAAAATACTAATTCGACCCACCTTCTTAGCTAAAGTAGGAGTAACCCACCAAGGTCGCGGCGGCCACACTGGTTGAAAAACTGTCTGAAATTGAGCGTATTACTGAGAAGCACATGATATAATTTCCCAGAACTTCTCTCTATTGTTTTTTTCTCCTTCTTTCTTCATTTCGCTGTCTTTCGTGACCTCTACGCTTTTTATTTCTTACAGGAAAGCACCAGTAGGTCGGCCCGACTACTTGCAAGAGTTGTAGTACACCTATGTATACGTCCTGGAATGCTGAGCTCGAGTCTGTCCTTGGTCATTCTCTAAGAAGAGTTACGGAGATTCGGAACTCTTCCACACCCATCACGTAGAGGCGCAGTTATACGTACTATATCGTGTGATGCTACGGCAAAACGTGGCCACTTGGAGTACCCTGCAGTGGTTGTGCTTCGCGGCAAGATGCCGTGAGCCTGTTCCTAGTTAAAATCGATTCTTCGCATTCTGCAGCGACTTGGCTAGAAGGGCTTCCAGTATACAGATACATCAGTGGCAGCGTGCCAGATCTACCATGTTGATAGTTGGTTGCAGTGTCAACCACTCTACTCTTGCCTCACCAGCCGTCGACGACAATTTTTCGGAGAAGGTCGTGGAAGCGTTGGAAAAGTAGTCTTACTTGATCTCTGGTAGGGGGGGGGCGAGTGAA